GGATGACGGATGGGAGACGACGGATGGGGGAGGGGGGACGGCGGATGGTGGATAGCGGGAGGCGGAAGAGAGTTGGGTGAAAGGATTGGGGCAAAACCACGCTTGAGAATAGTGGAAGTCTTCTGTTCCTTCCCACCCCACTCTCTCTCCTCACCCCGCTCTCCCCATACGGTCCTCTCCCACGAGAACCAACCCCCATGCTCTTCAGATCCTCACCCCACGCGGACCGCCAGCGCCAACGCGGCGCGGTGCTGCGGCTTGGCGTTGCGGCGCACGTAGTACGTCACGCCGTTGTCGAGCCGCCCGTGCAACACCGCGCCCTCCGGCCCCAGCGGGATCGCCGCTTTCCGCGACTCCTCGCTCCTCAAATCCAGGGGCTTTAGCGAACGAAACGACGACACGTGTCCGGCTCCTCCGCTTCTGCCGCTCATCCCGCCGCTGCCGCTTCGTGTGAGACTCAGCCGAGTGACGTCAGGCAAAGGTGAATCTAGCGAGGATTCTGGCTGCCGGGGGGGTGATGGTGACGTCATGATGACGCTAGCCGCGGGATCTAGAATGTCTGAACCAAATCTCTCAAGGAAACGAATCGGCTAAATCCTGAAGTCGATAGTAATGACGACAGAAACTCAGCTTGAGAATAAGTGAGGAGTAACGACGGAACGTGCAGCGGCTCACTGGTCGGGATATGCAGAGGCCGTGCTGGAACGGGCGAAAGACAGACGGCAAAAGGAACTGGCTTACAGTCGGGATTCTGCGATGAATGGACCGACTGAAGGGAGAAACTAATTGAGACCAAGGAACTAACGCCAAAATATAGATTCTCCCGTGTGACCGTTGCTCTCCTTGCAGGCCAGCCCTGTAAAAGGAATAAGAAGCCTTGCATCATTGCAGCTTCTTACAAAAAGAATTTAAAGACTCTCGGATCCACAAGATGCATATATACAAGGGAATACAGTATTATCTTAGTCTGATTGCTTCACTGGAAGGATGGCTGTACCCGTTTTAGAAGTTCAAACGGCCAGGTTTCTGAGCTAGGGTTTCAATTCCTTTCATGGATCAATTTCAATCCAACGGCTCATCGGTTACTTCGCTAGGCTCGACTCTGAGATCTGGCTGCTTCGTCCAGCCAACTGTTGCAAAAAAGAGCACCTGGGGTTTCCAAACCTGCTCGTTTGGCTTCTCCCCTTCATCCGTCCGTCCGTCCCACCTGTCCCTCCTCATCCATTGCTTCACGCTCAACCGCTCCCTGCTTCTAGGCTCAAAACGCCATTGATCGCCCGCCAGTCGCCGCATCTCACTCGTCCGTTTACCTCCCTAGCTTGCATCTCACCGTCCTGCAAAACTTGGACGCCCTCCGCTCGCCTCTCACAGTTCAGAGTTTCCCAGTTCAATCTGATTCGTTGCTCTCCCCAGAGGTACGCACTACCACTCGTTTTGGTTCCCCCATGATTTCACTACTCTTTTAGCACCAGTTACGATACCTAAATTCGGCAGACTATATATTTAGTCTGGAAGCCGTTACTCGAGTTCTCCTGTATTTCTGGCTTATCGATGCACCTGGCCTCACGTCGCCGCAATATCTGTCTGGTCCTACGGTTGTGGCTAGTCTGCGTTACCACTTTTCACACCCGACCTTTCATTGATATGATGATCGTCTCGTCCTCCGTTAGGATACTTGGTTCAGCGACATTTATTACATAACCATTGAGTCAATATTTTGGACATTCGTTGTCGCTTAACTCTACGATCCGTGTCCTGGTTTATTGTGGCAGGTCTTTCGTCAACCAAGTCAACGAGGTTGTTTCACTACGTTGCGGTGGGCAGTCTTTAAAGGTATCTCGTCATGGCGCAGCAGCCTGGCATGATAAATATTCCCGGTCAGCCAGGCCAGATGGCCTATGCTGCCGCGATGGGTCAACCGACAATGGCTCCTCACATGATGGCACAATACCAGACGAACCCATCTGCGGCGGCTGGTGCTGCTGGATCCGTGCCTGCTGCTCAAGTGGGGTCGCTACCCGCTGGCGCACCTGGGTACCAGCCTCAGGCGCTGCAGCAGCAGTTGCAGTATCAGCACCTTCAGCAGCAACACCAGCAGCAGCTGCAGAGCTTCTGGCAGCAGCAGATGCGTGACGTGGAGCACGCGAATGATTTCAAGAACCATCAGCTTCCGCTCGCGCGTATTAAGAAGATCATGAAGGCTGACGAGGACGTTCGCATGATAAGTGCAGAAGCGCCTGTGGTTTTCGCGAAGGCTTGCGAAATGTTTATTTTGGAGCTAACCCTGCGTTCCTGGATTCACACAGAAGAGAACAAGCGTCGCACCCTGCAGAAGAATGACATTGCTGGCGCTATAACGCGGACGGACATTTTCGACTTCCTGGTAGATATTGTCCCTCGTGATGAGTTGCGTGAAGAGGGAGGCGTAGTGGGAGCTGTTGGGGTCGGGGCTGGTGCAGCAGCCAGCGCTTTGGGCGCCGTCCCGCGCCCGCCTGTAGGTATGCCTGGCGCAGCAGATCTGCCGTTTGGTGGCATGTATTATATGCCGCAGACTGCTGCACCAACTGCGGCCACCATGCAGCAGCCTACTGCAGCCATTATGGCACAGCATCAGATGATGGTCAACAGGCATGCCATGGGAATGGATCCTTCCATGTACGGCCAGCAGCAGCAACAACAGCAGCAGCAACAGCAGCAACAACAGCAGCAACAGCAACAGCAGCAGCAACAGCAGCAGCAGCAGCAGCAACAACAGCAGGCTCAGGCTGCCCAGCAGCAGCAGCAGCGGGCTGCAAATGCCATGGCAGGGATGGGTTACATGCAGCAAATGCCTCAACAGATGTGGCAGCAGCAAGGAATGCCACCTCAGTGATTCATTGCTAGAGTCTGAATAGCATTGCATGCCTTTGATTTGCCAAGGGAGGGAAGGGCCTTCAATGATTTCTTGAGTTGCCTTTTAGGTCAAGCCAGCTGTTTGTACAAACCACTGGATAGTGTTTTGATTTGTTTTTTTGCACTTCGGAGGGAATATCACGGACTATCTGATGTGAACAATCTATTGAGGTTGCAATATGCTTTGGGATGCTCCATTAGATCGTTAGTGAGTCGTGAGAAGCTGTTCCTTCGTATGCGGACAATCCATGTGCGCATGGAATTGCTGAAATTGCGCAATACCGCAGCTAGCTCTACCGAATCAACTTTACAGGCACTTCTCGAGTCGGAATTGTGTACAGTAAATCATACCACACAAGCCCCACCAAGACCCCAAATTAGCCGACATCGCGCCTCGCTACTTCCGCCGCCCTTGAACAAGAGAAGGGACCCTCACAGCGCGTTCCGCACATCGGCTTTTGAAGACTCTAGCACCCCGAACCTGGTTCGCGAGTGTGGCTGCCAACAGCGACGAAGCAGGAATCCAGCATTCAAAAAGTTCGTAACACACAACAAAATTCGCCATCCCATGACTCTATGGGACTCTTCAGGAAATAAACATATCCTGAAATTTTCCTGGTTCGTCTTCTGGAATTTTCAGATCAGATGCCCCTGCAACGTTTTAGTCGGCGGTGGAGCAGACTCCCTCGTCTCAAAGAATCCATGGTTGCTCCTGATAACTCGATTCGCTCCAGAACCCCTGTTTGTCTCCGTAAGCCATTTTGGCTCGTTTATCTCCTCCCTGGCTCCGCCAGATTTAACAGGAGGCCCTTGCGCACATTGCGATGCGATGCGGCTCGCTAATATGTCCTCACTCTTCTGTCGTCGTCATCCGTCGTCGTAGTAGGCGTTACATGGTGCATTCGTCGCCCTCGCAGCGCGCTGCAGCAGTTTCACCTCCGCTATCGCTCGTCCCCGCTAAGGACCGACTCGCTTTGTAGCAATAGCTCCGCTTGCATTTGACTGAATCGCCACGCTAGATTTCACGGACTTCGGATACTGCGTACGCCTGAATTCGACTCTGAAAAGGCTTCCAAAAGCACATCCGGATATTCTTTATAGTTGTTTGAAAATCAATAGCATTTTGTTTAAAAATATCTTGTCTTTTGACTGTTGATGCTGCATATTCACGCGTTATATTACACGACCATGCGACTCCTGGGCACGCGTGCGATAGAATCGATAGCGCAGCAGCGGCAAGAGCACAATCAACGGTCATGGATGAAGCACCAGCGACGAGAATTCCATAAGTTGTGGGCGACGCGTCTTCTGATGTCGTGCCTGATGACTACCGCCTTGCTGAGCGGGTCTCGCGGAGCAGTTGACGGCGTGATTCGCGCAGGCTCCAGTGAGTAGCCTCACATTCGGAATTTCCGGAAGCCCTTTTTTTACAAAACATTGCATGGATCGAAACAAAGGAAACCATTTTCCTCTTCCTTTTACTCCCCCACATCCTGCAGCAAGCGCGCCTTACTTGAGGCGCCTCAAAACATTTCCCCTACTCCCTTCTCCAACTCCACCGATCTCCTTCTCCTTTCCCCTTCCGGAACTCTTTCCCTCCCCTCTTCCCCCCTTTCCCCATCCCCTTCCCCATTCCCCAGCAGCGCCCGTCAAGCCTCCCCAGCGCGCATGGAACTGCACCATTTCCCGCGGAATGTGGGTGCCTTCCAGAAAGCTTCCGAGGTACAACGGCGCATCGTGTCCGTTCATCCGGTCGTCGCACAACTGTCGGCGGCAGGGACGGACGAACTTCGACTACCAAAAGCTGCAGTGGTGGGTAAGTCGGATTGTGGGTTATTCTCATAAGGTGGACGGCAAGTGGTAACAGCAGGGACAGCCGGAGCGGACAAATTTCGACTACGAGAAGCTACAGTGGCTGGTGAACCGGGTCTGACAAGGGTGCTGGATCAACTCTTGACAACAGTGGCAGCCAGGACGGATGTACTTCGAGCATCAGAAGCGACGACGGCGAGTGGGATGGGGTGCGAGGATGCTCTGAGCTGAGACAGTCTCACAACAGCTGCAGGGGCGGACGGGCTTTGAGTATCAGAAGCTGCAGTGGCGGGCGAATGCAGAAGCTTGGAGTTATTCCAGAGTCACAACAGCAGCGACACCAGGGGCGGACGGGCTTTGATGGTGGTGGAGATGGTGGATTCTGTCTGAACATACCTCGCGGACTCAGTAGGGGGATCAACTTACCTCCGTGTCTTCAAGCTTCCCCCCTCTCCTCCCTCTCCCCCCTCTCTCCCTCTCCGACCTCTCCCCCCTCTCCCCATTCTCCCCCCTCTCTCCCTCTCCCCGCCTACGTAGCCATTACGGTGCACCGTACAGCGCTTAACCCCAGCAGTTCAAAAACAGGCTGGTGGTGCTGCTAAGAGATTCTGACTGTAACGAATCAGCCCATCTGCACCCCTCTTCCCACTCCCCACCAGCACCCCTCTTCCCACTCCCCACAATACAGCGCTTGACACCAATTCGACTTTTGAGGCGCCTCAAAAGGGTTCAATCACCCTCACTCTCACCACACTCACTCTCCTCACACTCCTCCGTCCCCTCCTCTGCAGACCATTGGATGCAAGGTGCAGCGCCTCACCCCAGCGCGCCTCGTGCAGCAGTTCAAGAACAAGCTGGTGGTGGTGCTGGGGGACTCGGTCTCCAAGAACCTCACCAATTTCGTTTAAGGTATCAAACAAACTCAATCCCCCAAACTCAATCCCCCCCCACTCCTCCCTCTCCCCTCTCCCAGCCCATAGGGTGCACGGTGCAGCGATTAACCCCAGCGCGCCTCGTGCAGCAGTTCAAGAACAAGCTGGTGGTGGTGCTGGGGGACTCGGTCTCTAAGAACCTCGCGGATTCAATCAAGTGCACGCTGCATGCTGCCAATCCCCGATCTATTAAGACGTTCCGCCTTGCCAGCGGAAAAACAGAGCTTGCAGGGACGTGGGTGAGTGAGTGAGTGAGTGAGTGAGTGAGCGGGTGAGTGGGTGAGTGTGTGTCAGATGCATTGGTGGGTGAGTCAGTGTGTGTGAGTGAGGGCGTGTGAGAGGCATTGGCGGCCGAGTGAGGGTGTCAAGTGCACGCTGCATATAGAAACACCCCAGTCCATCAAGACGTTTCGCGTTGCCAGTGGAAACACAGAGCTCGCAGGGACATGGGTGAGTGTATGAGGCTTTGGTCCGTGATTTAGAGTGTGTGAGAAGCATTGGTGGGTGAGTGAGGGTGTAAATTGCACGCTGCATGCCGCCCTGTCCTGATACATCGAGATTTTCTGCTTTACCAGCTGAAAGACAGAGCTTGCAGGGACAGTGGTGAGTGTATGTGGCACCGGATTGTGAATGAGTGTTAGTGAGAGGCATTGGTGGGTGAGTGAGGGTGGCAAGTGCACGCTCCATGCTGCCCCCTGGCCTGTTCCAACAAGTCGTTTCGCCTTGCTGGCGGAAGACGGAGGTCGCATGGACATGGGTGAGTGAGTTGGTGAGTGTGTAGGGCGTTGGTGGGTGGGAGAGTGGAGTGAGTGTGCGTCAGAGGCATTGGTGGGAGAGAGAGTGTGTGTGTCGTCTGGTGGGTGAGTGAGAGTCACACCTGGGTAAGTGAGTGTGGGTGATTGAGATGCACCGGTGAGAGAGTGAGCGGCATCGGTGGTTGCGTGAACCAGCCTGTGTTGAGAAAGAGCTTGCAAGGAAGCTGGGTAAGTGAGTCAGGCAGGTATCTGTGGGTGTGTGGGTGTGCCAAACAGTGAAGTAGAGCTGTCTGGCACCTTGGTGAGTGGGTGTCTGTGAGTGTGTAAACCAACCTGGGGGTTTGAGTTTGCCTTGATTGTATACACTCTTGCTGTTGTTCTTCAATCGCCACTTTTCTGTTTGACAAGGGATCACTTCACGCCTTTTTGATGGTGCAACTTTCTCAACCCTACCTCTTCACCCCCCTCCCAACCACACCACACCAGCCCCATTCCTCCCTTTAACCCTATCCCTCCCCCACCCTGCTCTCCATCCCCGTCATTAGATCCCTCGCTACAACATCCGGTTCGTGTCGGTGTTCTCAACGCACCTCAACAACGCAACTTCCCTGGAGGGCCAACCCAACGCTCAAGACATCAAGGCGCTGTCGCAACAACCCGAGAGCTTGGAGTCAGTTGGAGGGAGGAGCACGGATAGGAATGGAACAGCTGAGGGGATTGCAAGGAGCGCTAATACGGTGGAGAGGATTGAGACGATGGCCAATCAGCAGTCGCAGCGGATCGATCTGGACCAATTGGATCCACGCGTTGTGGATCTTCTGCCACTCGCTGATATCATCATTTTCCAGGCAAGCTGCCTTTGGGAGTCATTATGGAGTAGACCACTGTGACCATTTTCCAGGAAACCTGCTTGAATTGAACTCATATGGTGCAAGAAAAAATATTAGCTTTTGGGTCGAATTTCACTGTCCCAACCAGCCCACCGTGGCATTCTTGCAGGCGACCAACTGGTGGTACTCCCCCTCCAACCAATACTACCTCAAGAACCGCCGAGTCAACTCATGAGGTGCCACAAGATTTGCCTGTCTGTCCCAATCCACCATTGCACCAATGCAGGCGACCAACTGGTGGTACTCCCCCTCCAACCAGTACTACCTCAAGAACCGCCGAGTGAACCTGACTCGCAGCAATGCATACGCCATCGGTCTCACCACGCTCAGGAACTATGTCACTCGCTCGGCCCTAGCGGCTGCTCGCGGCTTGAAGGGGTTCAAGGGGAAGGCGGTGCTGCTGGGTGCTTCGCCCTCCCACTACAATATACCTGTGCCGGGGGTCAAACCGGGGTTCTGTGAAGTGCAGGAGATGATGACGCTGCCGCAGGTGAGCAGTTCGGGGTGATGACTTGGCATGTGGTGAGCGGATGGGGGGATGACGTTGCATGTGGTGAGCGGATGGGGGGATGGCGTGGCATCAGGTGGGTCATGCCTGCCAGAAGAAAAGAGGATGACATCCTGGGTTGCAAGAAGTGGAGAGTGCAGATTCCCTTAGAAATGTCCCCTGTCCATTCATTCCTACCATCTGATTCTCTCCACCCATCCCCCACCAGAGGTTTCTGTAGTGCATTTTCATAAAACCATTCCTTCCTTTGCAATGACCACAACTCCCTGTGGTAACCCCATTCCTTGACTGCAGCAACCCAATCCACACTCAGAATTCTTGCTTACTTATTCCTCTCCGTTGCATTCCCTTCCCCCCTTCAGACAGTTGACTTCCGCAGAAGCGATGTGAAGACCAATGTGTTCAGAGAGGTGCAGAGGCGCGTGCTGAGGGACTCGGTGATTCGCTACGTGGACGTGGGGCCAATGAGTGACTGGCGCCCAGACGGGCACCTGCAGAACTGGATAGTGTCAAGTGAGTTATCTCGTCTGGTCTACATTTATTTAAAAAATTGCACTGGCTCTGCAAATCGGGACATGAATGTGGGCTGGTGTTTGATTAGCAGACCAATGGTAACTGAGGATGTGTGGCTGAAAAGGAAAACGTGTTGCAGAAAAAGTTGATATGTTATGGGTGTTTCATAACCCACTCTTATTGTGCTTCCGGTTCACCCTCGCAGGTGGCTCAACCAAGAAGAATGACTGCTTGCACTGGTGTGAGGCTGGGGTCACAGATGCATGGCTGGAGATGGTCCATAATACACTACTATTCTGACAAGCAGTGTTGCTGTTACACAAACGAAGGCGGCTGAAAGGAGAGTACAGTAGCGAATTTAGCCTATATGCTCTGCAGAGCTCGTTGTACAGAGTTGGAAAAATCAGAAGATTACTTCCACTAGCATGCTGAAGTAGTTTAGCAACAATTCCTTATCCCCTCCCCAGTAGCAGGCTCTATTGGAACTTGTAGTGCATATTGCCAAATATATATTGTGATTGTAATCAAACAGATGAACCAGTGCTGGCTTCTGTTGATGCCAGTAAAAGGTTGCTGGTTATTGCCTGTTAGTGAACGACCTAGGGTTAGGAGGGGGGAGCGCCACGACATGATTGAATGGGACAGTTCTACGAGGCACGCCTTCTACACCCTCCTCTTCATCATCGTCAAACTCCAATGAGTAGCTGCAGGCACAAACAAAAGGGCAAGTTAAAAGCAACAAGAAAATAATAAAGATTTGAACAGGTGTTTAGACTGGTTAGGCCAGGTTTTGTGTACAAGCTTGACTGAAGAGGGGTGCTAGAGAAAGGTCAGTGTGACGAGTTTGTAACATGAAAGGGAGGGACGGTAAATGGAACGTGTGCAGTATCTTACTCGTCGCTTTTCCGCTGTTCATGTTGCCATCCCACCATACGGCAAGAAAGCGTTCCAAATCAGGCAGGGACAGGGCATGGGTTGGTGAGGAAAGCAGAAGAAAGAGGCTGGTTAACAAGAAAAACTGTGGTGGAAGCAGGTTACAATCCAGGTATGTTACCATCCACAAGGCCGGAATAAATGCAACGGAAGGAACTGAGGCGCATGGTGATCAGAACGATGTAGCACAAAAAGGTCAACAACTGTTGATTTTGGTAGACGAGGAAAATTAACAGAAATAGATCAACCTGGCTCCAGATAGCGCCTACCTTGCGTGGTTGCCCAACCACTGTTGCTTGATAAAGTGCAGTGGTGCTGGGGAAAACCGCCAGCACCCTGGAGCCAGGAGGGAAGTCGGAGGCTGACATCCACTCGTTGCGCTTGTGGAAGGGGATGATGCAGGAGCCAGACAGGCGGTACTTTCTGAAGTTTTGGAAACATTGGGAAATGTTGTGGGTGAGCACTACGGGGATCACTAACTTCATTTTTGGTTGCAAATTGCATTGACTGTGAGCAAGCTTTACATGTCAGTGCCTTTTTATTCTGTGCTCACCTTTGACCACCCTCGTCCTCCTCTCCTGGTTCCTCATCGATCACATCAAATCTGCAAAGAAGGTAAACACGTAAGAAGCTACGCATAACAACAAAAAGGAACCCCGGAAGTTAGAACAGTCATCCCATTTCTCCATGAAAACGGATATGGCTCTCACCTGTTCGCTTCCCGGTCAATGCGGAGGACCTTTACGACAATCCACTCATCCTTGCCATCCTCAGTGGCAGACACTCGTGCTGCGACCTGATGTTAAAAAAGAAGACGGGAGAGAGTCTAACACCAGACAAGAGAAAATCCACACCTAGATTGCGTTCAGTTGGATTTCCTTATCCCTGTAGCAAACCTTCAGACCTCACCTGTTCTCCCACCACAACCCGTGTCAGGGCAACTGCAGACGCTGCAGAAGCGCCATCATTGAGGCCAGAAGCAGATGAGGTCAGCCCTAGAGAATTTCCTGGACCACCATCCCCACCAGCTGCTCCGTCAGCAACTGGAACTGTGCGTTGGCGCTTCTTCCTCCCACCTTCCAAAGGACCATCTGAACACCAAGGGAACGCAGAGGAAGACGAGACGCGGAGAAATAGGTAACAACCACGGCTGTTGTTTCTTTCAAGTGATACTGCACAGAGTGATTAGAAGAGTGTGATACATACATCTCACTATGCAAACCTGAATGTCAGGATAGATTCCCGAACATTGAACATGCGATTGCAAAGACCTGCCTGATTTCTTTTTGGTTCCGTGCGGAGCTGAAATGGCTGAAACTTGAGATGGGTCGAGTTCTCTGATGCAAGAGGTACAGAGACTGGAACGGGGAAGCAGAAACGTACGAAGCTGAAGACAGATTAGCAAGTACTCAAAGTTCATAAGAGGATGACATGAGAGGTAACGCGCTTTCATGCATGACGGAAAGCGAGGGCGCAATGCAAATGTACGCACCTTTCTTCAAGATCTGCAAGGCGTTTGGCCTCCACGTAGAATCCTCGTAGCTTTATCCACAGCTTCTCTCCAAAGCGTTCTGCTGTCTCCCGCGCTGAACTTGCTCAAAAGGATGGATGGCACACACACGAACAAGTTATGAGCCAATAGTAGGAGCCTTCTACGCATGAGAACGACGCCCATTACGTACGGGTTTGGCTTAATTTAGAGTGTATTTTATTTATCTTCTTCACAACAACGTCCTGCTCCCGTCGAACGCGATCCAATTCGCGAAATTGCTGGACAACTGATTCAGGAAGTGGTGTTGCTGTGGCAGCCATGAAGCGGCAAGTCAGTTGATAATGTCCAAGTTTTTGACCCAAAAATGCGGCGGCGGCCAGTGGAAAGCAGCAAGTGAGCAAATGTGCTTCCATCAATATTTGGGAGAAGCGGTACAGTACACACTGTAGAAAAAACATTCTGGCTCGAGCGAATCTGGTTACTGCGAATTCCGATGTTCAGCACTTTGCTTCAACCACATGAAGCGACAATGATTCAGCGAAACTCTTTGGTAGCAGAAGCGGCCTTCAGACTCTAAAGTGGTTACATCCACGGGCTCGACGAAACAATGTGGTTACATATGCTCGTTCAAGTAAAATGGATCTAGCAATCCCAACAATACTCACACAGCAGCCTGACAAGTCACAATGGCCCTCGTTGCGGGTTGAAATTTCGTCTTCATCATCACAACCAACATTCAAGATAGAAATCGTAGACATACTAGTAGGCTCCCTGTGTCATGGCTGGGATCAGGGATGGTTCTCCCGTCTCTAGTAGACAATGGCCTCTTGTTACTTTCCAAAAGCGCGAAAGAATTGTCGTGCTTATTCTCCTTATGCTGGTTTGTGGAGTGTGCTACCGTCTGTCCTTATTTCCAGCGGGAACTGGTTCATGGCATCGCCGGCTATCCTGGAAATCAGGAAATAGCATAGAGAGCATTGCGGATCATGCAGGCGTCCTTGCCGTGACACCAGGAGGTCAATATCACTCATCTCTCGTTATGCATAATGAAGTCCAATCGTGGCAGGTAAACAGTCCGCTTCCGAGCTCATTTTGGCCCTTGCTTCTGATGGGGGACATCTGATCCTCGCATTCATCAGGCACCCGAGATCGCTTTTATTGCTAATCAAATGATGAAACAATATGGAAGACTCGACACCAAGGCCAAAAAGGATTGCAAGTTAATTCGAGACACTAGCGCGGTGCTGTGGAAGAATCACTCCAACTACGACGTTTTGACGCGGTGGAGGTCTCCTGGCATTCCAGGCTCGTTCTTCGACCACGCAATTAGCTTCAGATATAAAAGGATGGAAGGTGTATCGCCTCGGCTGAAAAATTATCAGGCAAGAAGCTAACTTGGCCAATGTTTATGCGGTGACATGCATTGTTACTAACGCGTGGCTCATCCTTTCAGTGCCGACTTCTTGTCAGAGGACAAGACTATGAGGCTCTCAGGCGCCTACCAGTGGTACAGTCTATTCCCTTCACCGACCAGCAGAAAATCGGTCCAGTGTTCAAGGACGAAAATTTGCATATGATTGCGGTGGTCTTCCCTCAGGTGTGTGACCATTTGCTTCTTCGTTCTAATGTGATCTAACGTCTTAACTAAGCCGTTTTCCCGTGTAGTACCATGCATTCAAAGAAAATGATTTGTTTTGGGGAACAAACTTCACCGAATGGACAAACTTGAAGCTGGCATATTATAACCCGTGGAACTTTCAACCCATCAAACATCCTATTGAAGCTAACGGGGGTTATTATAACATGCTCGGCCATTCCCAACGGTCAAGAATGGGAAAGCTGGCAAGGTTTTATGGCATCCACGTGAGCATAGCACACAATGTTACAGTTGTTTTGTGTTTTCTTTTCTCTTGACCCACCTGCAGAATGTGATTACGTTTGCAGGGCTTCGCATTTCATCACTACTGGTTTGAGTGCAACACTGTATTTATGGAGTCGGTCATTATGGAAATGCTGAAAGATGGACAGCCAGACCTCCCGTTTATGCTCATTTGGGCAAACGAAGCCTGGACACGGCATTGGACTGGAGAGACAGGCGAAATACTTCAGTCACAGGTAAAAGAAATCTTACCACAACGAGCTGCACGGTGTGAGGCAAATATACTCAGTTCATGATCCTTTGGTGCAGAGCTACGGGAATGAGACATGCTGGCGGTTGCATTTTCAGTGGCTGCTACCCCTTTTCAAGCACCCTAACTACGTAAGAGTCAATAATAAGCCGGCTTTTGGTATCTACATCGTCCCCCTTATCAAGGAGCTGAAGCCAATGCTGAAGCTTTGGCGATCACTCGCTAAAGAGGAAGGTTTGCCTGGCCTCCATATTATCCAGTGCCTGGGCCATAAAGACACAGGTGTTTCTCGAAATGTCAATGCTATCATGGAGTATCAGCCCAATCTGAAAAAGGGGCGGATGAAGACTGAATCTCCAACAAAAAGGCTGCACAAAGCTCATTACCGGGGGGAGTATCTTGGTTGGGACAACTTTCCAAGGCACAACCTCGACCCACATTTTGTCGTTGGGGACCTTGATGATGATCCTGTTCATGTGGAGGCAAGGCTGGAGGAGAGATTCAGAATCGCTCGAAATGATGCGAACAATGGATCGACCCCCAACCTCTTCCTCCTCACTGCATGGAATGAATGGGGAGAGGGGAACGTGCTGGAGCCAAACAACATTTTTGGGTAAGTTGGTTTGTTTTCTCTACCACGTATGCTAATAAATCATGTTAGCCTGACCTTACACTTTCCCTGTGCAGGTACGGAAACTTGAATGCAGTTGCACTGGCGTATGAGAACAGCAAGAAGGAAGCCAGCAATGACATTGACATTCTGAACAAGCTGCACGAATCTATGGATGAGTGCAGATTGAAGCTGGACATTCAGTACTACGTCGATCTTGCTGGTACAGACCTCTTTCATCTACTGAGTGGTCCTGAACCGGAAATGAGGGTAATTGAGAACTGGCAGACAGAAGGCTTCGACAAAGGCAGAGAGTTCAGGCTTGTGAGCGAGCTGGAGGATGCTGCTTGCACTGGAAAAGTGCATTGTCAGTTTCTGTGCGGAATGACTTTGGACAAACACATGGTAAGATACTTGTCGGAGGTGGACAGTGACAACGTTGGGCGATACAACGAGAGCTCTTTGAGTGAGCTCGGATGGAAATAAGACGCTTGGAATGCATCATGCGTATACGTGCTAGAGATTGGTTGTGTGTACTTTAACATGTACTTAATCACAAGAGTCTTTCTGTTCGCAATGAAAAGGTTTTACTGGTGTTTTTTTACGTAGAACTTATAAAGATATTGCAGTTTTAGAACACTAAGAGGTACACTATGACGTGAGATGGTTTTGGGTGACCTAAACATCACTTCACACTTCCGGAACGTGAGTTTTTGAGAAACAGCAAATCCACAGCAGTATCGCAAGTTAAAAGTTGACCACACCGCTTGTCTCAAACCAGATCAAGTTGCAGTGTGCACTATTTACTTCACCGCGCTCTCCTGTAATCTCGCACGATGCTTTCTTCGCTAGATGCAGCGCTCGAATCAGTGTCTGGTAGGACGTCATGTTTTGAACTTCGGTAGCTTTAGCCCTTATACGCTTTCGATTTTCGTGTACCCTTTTCTACATTGACTCTTTTTTGGCTCATGCGTCGGATACGTGCTCTTTTTGCTTAGCTGCGCCTCGTACACTACGTCCTCCTTAACTTCTTCCTCTTCGCTTGCTATTGCAGGTCCACGAACAGCTGCCTTTCAGCCGAAGCTCAAGCCTCGCGCTAGGAAGGGAGGAGCTGGCGGAGGGGCGGGTGCTGAAGCAGCTGTGCCCACAGGACAATCTGGCTCAGCAGCCGGTCCATCAGGACGGCACGCTGCTCCAGCGGGAAATGTAGGGGGTGCTGCGCAGGCGGTAGCGCCACCTGTTCGCGCTACAGCCGCTGCAGCTGCTACCGTCCCATCTGGACGAACATCAGCATCAGCGCAACGTCCTCTTCCCGACGCCCCGGCTTCCGGTCCACAACTTCCCTCCCGGTCTGCAGCGCCAGAAGCTCTTGGTCTTTCCTCACCTGCGCCGTCCCTTTCGGCAACAGTAATAGCCAGGGAGACTCATCAAGCAGAAGGGTTAGGTTCGGTTCAAGGGGGTTTTGACGCCCCTTCCAGAACTGCCACTGCTGCTCCTTCCCCTGCCGCAACAGCAGCCACTGGTGCAAGAGCGTCGTCTGCATCTGCCCCTGCTGCCCCTCCAATCGTTCCCTCCTCACGTGCTCCTACCCTCCCCGCTCCTGACACGTCTGCTCGTCCCCCTCCGCGTGCTCCTGCTCCTGCCCTAGAAAACGGTCCTCATATAAATGCCGCGCGTTTAGCCCATACTGCTGCTGCCCCTAGTGCTGCGCCTGGCACTGCCCCGGGAGCAGCAGAAGTAGCAGTGCGGGGAAATGGGAGAGGGAGGGAGAAGGAGAAAGGGGTATCTGGGGCTGATAAAAGCCAAGGCGTTATTGGGTCGGGAACCAAGGGAGTGTTCTTCCCACACTCGTTCCGGAAAGGAAAAAGGCGTAAGTATCTCTGACTAAATCCTGAACCCTCAACCTGAAGCGCTAGTAACCCCAAATCAGGATTCATCCGTCGACATCCTGGCATGTGCAACAAGGCATGCTGCGACTTTGCATCATCCCGCTTCCCATTTAACCTCACAGGCCACGCCCGAGCTGCTGACAGCAGAGGGCCTAATCCCATTCCCGCTGCCCTTCGCTCTTCCCCAAAACCCCCCAACACCCCTCCCGCTCCCCTCTCTCCCCTCTCTCCCCGTGACCTCTCGACACACCAGGGTCGCAAGTGACTCCGGAGCTGCTAGCAGCGGAGGACCTGTCGGGCTTCACCATCCAGCAGATCATTCAGCGCTCCGAAGTGCTCGACCGAGAGGTGAGAGAGCGAGGGGCTTGGATCAAGTTTTGCAAGCTTGTGGAGTTGCAGTATCAGGAGGCGGCGCATTGGTCTTTGAGTGGAGACTCTTTTTGTGTTTGGTTTGGTTTTAATTTACTGTTCTCCCTCACTCATTCACCCCTCCATCCTCCCACACCCGCCTTTCCTGCTTCCCTACCCTTCCATCCTCTCCCCTTCCCCAACCCTGCCATTCCCCTCGCCCTCACTCTGTGCGCAGAAAGAAAAGGAGGAGCAGGAGAAGAAGCGGATAGAGGAGGAGGTGGAGCGGAACAGAAGGAAGCTGGCCAGGAGGCGAGGCGAGGAGGTGCTTGATGGCAGTGAGAGGTGCGTGGGGGAGGGTGATGCGGGGAGGAGTGGTATTGAAGGGTGATGTGGAGAAAGGTTGGGAGGGTTTATTTGGTGTGGTAATGTGAAAG